ACATGAGGAACAGTCAGCTGGTGAAGTGCTGGAGAACGCTGTCCACCTATTCCCAGTAAAGCAACAAGGAGGAGAAATGTTCAGGGCAGGTAATGAAAGAAACATGGTTGTTAAACACACCATGTCCTGGCTCTGGAATCATCTTGGGTGATAGTTTTCTCCACTGCTGCATGTCACTTTGCTATGAACAATAAGATGTGTAATACAGTTATGCAAATAAAATATCTTAGTGACTGTAAATGAGTTTTAACGAGCCTGACACTGGTGGCAACTAAAGCAAAGTTGGCAGCAAGCCAAGCCGAGACATTATCAGAGTTTGGAGCAAAAGATGAAAGGACTTATCAACAAAGCCACGCAAGTAATTTGTTGACAGCAAAACAGTAATTGAAGAGCCAGAATAAACTCAAACAAAAATCAATCAAACCTGTCAAACAGGAACTGACTAAAACATCAGCTCGGCTTAACATTTCATCTAAATAATGACTCCACTTACAGAGAGAGATATGGCTAAACAAGGTCTCTGGGGCTGATTGGGTGATGCTACCAAAGAGTTGGCATGGGCTTGCTGTTGGCTTTCTTCTGCGCTACATCATTCTGTGATTCAATGACATTGCACTGCTCCATCAGCACTGCACTGGAGTATTAGCCTAAATTGTATGTCCAAATCTTCGACTGGGATTAAGAAACTGTCAAATTTAAAAAAAAACGGAACCTGTGGAATTCTCTACCAAGTCACTGAACATATTTAAGAAAGAAACAGATAAAGTCCCAGTCACTAAAGGTATCAAGAGATATAGGGACAGCATGGGAAAATGGTGTTGAAAATATGGTATTGAATTGCAGAGCAGGCTGAATAGGTTAAAAGGCCAATCCATAGTGATCACCTGAGCCTCTGTCCAAATACTTGAAATAAAGGATTTGCAGTTGTACCTTTGTCTCTTAGTGTGAGAGGGTGGCACTTATGTGCAAGTTGTGAAATAAGGAACATCTAATTTACTATTTGCCATCACTCAGCTATCTATCCCATTCTCACGAAAGGCATTGATCACAAACACATTGACCATAGGTATATAGAACATGCCCCACTTCAACATGCTACTTTAACGGTGCTTTATAAATGCAAGTTGGTGCTTTTGTCAACAATCCCAGAATCTAATGCCAGTCAAGTCATCATGCCTTCTCTGTTTGGATACTGAATGCAAGCATTAGAAAAATAAGACCTGCATTTATCTAAGACCTTTCATGATCGCAGGATATTCCACTCTGTTTAGCAGCTAATTATGTATTTTAGAAGTGTAATTACAATTATAAAATAAGAAATGCAACAGCCAATTTGTGCACAGCAATCTCCCACAAACAGCTATGTGATATAACCAGGTAATTGTTTCTTTAATATAACAAGGTGTAGAGCTGGATGAACACAGCAGGCCAAGCACCATCAGAGGAGCAGGAAAGCTGACGTTTTGGACCCGAAACGTCAGCTTTCCTGCTTCTCTGATGCTGCTTGGCCTGCTGCGTGCATCCAGCTCTACACCTTGTTATCTCAGATTCTCCAGCATCGGCAGTTCCTACTAGCTCTGAATTGTTTCTTTAATATTGCTTGTAGGATAAATATTGGCCAGGATACCAGGGATAACCCTTTTTCGAAGTAGAGCTGTGAGATCTTTTAGATCCACCAAAAGGGTCCTCACTTTAATGTCTCAGCTGAAAGACGACATCTCAAACAGTGTAACATCCTGTCAGTACTTCATTGTAGCACAAGGCCTCAGTGAATTGGAACACACACTTACAGTGTATCTTACAGACAATTACCTTATAAAATACCTCCACAAATGCACCTTCAAACATATAATGTCAGCTAGTGCAGGAATTGAACCTGCACAGTTCATATCATTCTGCATCACAGATCAGTCATACAAGCTAATTAAGCCTCTTACCTCACCCCTCATGGTGTGATGTCTAATAGTTTTATAAAACAGTCCTGAGATCCCAATGATAGAATTCTCAAATACTCTGGTTTCAAACCAAGTGAAAAGAGTATCAAAGGGATTTAAAAGTAGATATTTCAGTGAGATTTTAGCATCATCAATGGAGATGATGTCAACCTCTCAATCCCGGAATGGGTCAATTTAGCTTCGTACTGTTAGGTGTGATATTGTGTCACACAGATAAGGAAGGCCCAGGTTTGAAGCTTGCTCTGTGCTCAGTTAGTTGGCTTCAGACACAGCAAGCAGTGTTAGCACAACCAAAACAGAAATTGCTGGAAAAGCTCAGCAGGTCTGGCAGCATCTGTGGAGAGAAATCAGAGTTAACATTTTGGGTCGAGTGACCCTTCCTCAGAACTCTGTTCAGAAGTGTAATTATAGTAATTACAATAGCTCAGTTCTGAGGAAGGGTCACTCAACTGGAACCGTTAACTCTGATTTCTCTCCACAGATGCTGCCAGACCTGCTGAGCTTTTCCAGCAATTTCTGTTTTTGCTTCTGATTTACAGCATCCCCAGGTCTTTTGGTTTTTATTTAGTGTTAACACAACCAGTTGTTTTCACATCTTTCAAGCAGAAAGAGGCACAAATATGTCAGAGTGTCTCAGTTGATCATTATAGAGTGGAGCTAGGTGTGAAGTGAACAAGGCAAAGAAAAGATTAGGCTTTCTATCAATTCATTCTTGGGATTTTTTGGGTATTATTAGCAATGTTGGAATTTATCACCCAATCCCAGATGCACTGAGAGTGTGATTGTGAGCTATCTCCTTCAACCTTAAAGAAAACTACAATGGTATGAGATGTGAGCTGGCTACGGTCGATTGGGGAATGTTACTTAAAGGGATGACTGGATCAGGCCAACATTTAAGGAATGCATTGATGAACTGAAACATTTTTTCATTTCTGTATGATAGAAAAGTAAAATGTGAAAACTGGCCCACTATAGCTCACAAGGGAATTTAGGGGCATACGAACTGGCCAAAAAAAGCAGCAGACCTGAGAATTTGAACCAGTTTAGATTTCAGCAGAGGAGACTGATTAAGGGACTGATTAAAGAAAGAGAAACTAGAGTATGAGAGTAAGCTTGCAGGAAACAGGCAAACTGATTGTAAAAGCTTCTGTAGGTCCGTGGAGAGAACAAGATTAGTGAAGACAAATGTAGGACTCTGACGGTCGGAAAGGGGAAAGTTATAATGGGGAACAAAGAGATGGCAGACCAATTAAATATATACTTTTGTTCTGTCTTCACAAAGGAGGACACAAATAACTTCCCAAAAATGTTGGAGAACACAATCTAGTGACAGGGAGGAACTGAAGGAAATCAGTAATATTGGGAACTATTGTTGGGGAAATTGATGGGATTAAAGACTGACAAATGCCCAGGGCCTGATAATCTCCATCCCAGAGTATATAAGGAAATGGTCTTCAAAATAGTGGATGCATCAATGGTCATCTAGACTGTGGAACAGTTCCTATAGATTGGAGGGTATCTAATTTAACCTCACTATTTAAAAAAAGATCCAGACAGGATACAGAGAATTATAGACCAGCTAGTTTGACTTTGGTAGTGGGGAAAATGCTAGCATCCATTATAAAAGATTTAATAGCAGAGCACTTGGAAAACAGTGACAGGATCAAACAGAGTCAGCATGAATTTACAAAAGCGAAATCATGCTTGACAAATCTACGAGAATTTTTTGGGTAGATTTGATAAGGGGACCAAGTGGATGTGGTTTACTTGGACTTTTGTAAGGCTTTCAATAAAGCCCCACTTAAGAGACTAGCGTGTAAAATTCAAGCACATGAGTTTGGGGATAGTGTACTGATATGGATAGAGAACTCGGTGTCCAACAGGAAATGGATCATTTTGCAGGTGGCATCAGTGACTAGTGGGGTACCGCAGAGGTCAGTGCTTGGACCCCAGCTAATCACAAGTTGGTAGATGACAGAAAGCTGGGTGAGAAGGTTAGCTGTGAGGAGGATGCAGAGATGCTTCACTGTGATTTGAACAAGTTGAGTGAGTGGCCAAATGCATGGCAGATGAAGTATAATCTGGGTAAATGTGAGATTATCCACTTTGGTAGCAAAGGCAGATTGTTATCTGAATGGTGATAGCTTGGGAAAGGGGGAGGTAAAATGTGACCTGGGTGTCTTTGTTCAACAGACACTGAAAGTAAGCATGTAGGTGCAGCAGGAAATGAAGAAGGTGAATGGTATGTTGGCCGTCACAGTGATAAGATTTGAGTACAGGAGAAGGGATGTCTAGCTGCAATTGTACATGACCTTGGTGAGACCACACTTAGTGTATTGTTTTGATCTCCTTATCTGAGGAAGGTTGGTCTGGCCATGGAGGGAATGCGACAAAGACGTAATTGGCTGATTCCTGGGGAACAGGATGTTGAGTTGGATGATCAGCCATGAACATATTGAAGGCAAAGCAGGCTCAATGGGTTGAATGGCCTAATCCTGCTGCTATTTCCTATGTTTGTATGAAAACCTTACTAACTCCTTTTTTTTAGCAACTTTTTAGAACTGAGTGGCTTGCTAGACCACTTTAGAGGGAAGGGTCATCCGTGTTGGATTGGAACTAGAGTCACGTTTAATTTTGGTTATGATGCTTTTCCTCAAATGGAGAATAGTCTGAGTGAGAAGAATCACTCTCTGAGAACGTAGATGGCATGACAGTTACTTGCATCAGGTCCAAAAGGCACTTGGCATCGAATGAACTATAGCCCAGAGAACTCAGTGTTGTCCAGAATAAATGGGAGGAATGAGAAGTGTTTCCAACAGATAACATCCCTTTAAGTGTGATCCTTGTATAGGTACGGAGCGAGAATTGATCGTGTCCTGTGTAATTAGCTGGGGGAACAATCATTCCTTCTATCCAGCTGGGAGTATGCCAATCAGCTCCTACCCATTGTTGGGGGAAGTAATTGCCCAGCATCCTTTGAAGTCAGAAATATTCAGCATGTGCTTGTCGACGTGCCTTTAAATGCTCTCTGAAAACCCATGACAGACTCGGGGCCGGCTGGTCAGTCCACACAAACAAAACGGAGAAGCAGCGGAAAAGTGAGGAGCTGACTGAGGAGGAAAAGGAAATTATCAACAGGGTGATTGCCCGAGCAGAGAAGATGGAGGAGATGGAGCAGGAACGAATTCAGTGAGTCCAACATATTTGGTGGGTAGCAGTGGAGGGGGTGTCATCACACAGGACATTGACTTTTTCTCATAACAGTGACCAATTCAACAATAAATACTGGAAATGAGAGGCACAACTGCTCGTTCAAAGCAGCAGCACAATCAGGCATGACAGGCTGAATGGCTTCCCTCAGTGCTGTAATTTTTCATAATTATGTAAAATGCACAGTAGGTCTAGCAACATCTAACAAAAAAAATTCAAGCGTTAATGTTTTGCATGGACAGCCCTCACCAGATATTTAAAATTTGTTCTCAGGGAATAACCTGACTGAACAGGGGCCGTGCCATTGTTAATTATTCCCATATAATGGTTACTTGCAAATTCTACACAAATAAAGGATTAGTACTTAGCAACAGTAAATATTTCTTAATATTTATAGTTAATTAATTAGTTTGATTCTTAATTGTTACATTTAAATAAGGTAAGTTAATTATTGTTTTATTTTATCAATAAATTTAAGTAATCAATAATTGTTACAGTTTCTATCTTTCCACTGAAAAAGTCCAGAATTAGCCACTAATTCAAAATTTGTCAGCAAGCGTCAATCCACATTTCAAAGTTAAACATGAACTGATTCATTTAATTTTATTTGTCCATTAGATTTAAAAAATGAAATTTCAACCCAAACCACTTAGCGAGAAACTAAACACTGATTTATCTGAAACAAAAACAGAAGTAGGTGGAAAAGCTCCATAGGTCTTGCAGCAGTTCTGAGGAAGGGTCACCGGACCCGAAACATTAACTCTGATTTCTCTTCACGGATGCTGCCAGACACGCTGGGCTTTTCCAGCGACTTCTGCTTTTGTTTCTGATTTATGGCATCTGCAGTTCTTTACTGTGATTTATCTCTCTGTTTCTTTTCCGGTTTTACACTCAGGCGCCTCGTGGATCGTTTGGACAACATGCGAAAGAACGTTCTGGGTGATGGCTTATCTCGCTGCATCTTGTGTGGGGAGCAGCTGGGTCTGCTGGGCTCCCACGCAGTAGTGTGTGAAGACTGCAAGAAGGTAATTGATGCATGATGTGGTGCAACAGGCTCAGCAAGAAGCAGAAAAGCAGGATTGTTAATTATATATCTAAGCGTCTGCAGGTGGAGGACATTAATAGGGTTTTACTGAAGCACATATAAAAGGGCTCTTGTGGTGCAGTGGTAGTGTCCCTGCCTCTGAGCAAGAGGCTTGGGTTCAAGTCCTACCTCCTCCAGACGTATGTAGTAACATCTCTGAATAGGTTGGTTGGAAAAATATCTGAAACACATATAGTGGGGAGGTGATGGTGGTAATGTCACTGGAATAGTAATCCAGGTACCTCATGGTTTGGAGAAATGGATTCAAATCACTTGGATTGTCACATGTATTTATTACAAATACAGTGAAATGTGTTATTTAGTGTCACCACTCTGGGTGCCATCTTAAAACATAAAATATAAAGCCAGAAAAATAAAACAATAAAGTTCATCTCATAGTCTTACCTCAGTAAAGTTCTTTGGAACAGCTCCTGCTTCTAGCTCAGCTCCTCCACCCTAATCCTCAAGCCATCACTTTAAATGGGCTCCACAACTGTTGTCTCACGAGCAGGTCCTAATTCTCCCTCTTCCTTATGAATGACTAAATTCACAGTCCAAATACTTGCAGCTTCTGGAACAAATTTTTACCTTTTAGAAAATGTTTCCTAATTAGTGAGAGTGGCAGCATGTATATCTGCTGCAGCAGACCTGCTTCTGTCTTTGTCTGCAGTATAAAACCTGAATGCAAGAAGCATTGACAGTTGAGATTAATTGCTGTTTGTTGAATTTCTCTTCAGCAGCAATCTGTGTCACTCACCCAGAGGAGAGGAGAGATGAGATATTGGGAAAGGCGTCTGAGGCTGCAAGGAACTCAAAGCTCCTGACAGCTGTTTGTGTTGGTGCATTGGCATAAAGTAGAGAGATGTAGTCTAGACCATAGAGAATTCCTGACTCTAGCTCCTATTTCCTATATTTTATTTTATCGCCCTGTTGTGACACCTCCATGACAGGTGGGGGTTGAACCTGGACCTGGCCCAGAGGTATACCACATGAATCCTCCTATTTCCAATACCATCAGTGTTTTATTGGGAGATAAATGTTAGTTCAGTTTCTACTGGGAGCTATTTTTAGATGATTGGCTAATGCTTTGTGTTAAATTCATAACTGCATTACTTTAACAGTCACTAAACTAGTTCACAACTCTGTTGAAGTATCACAGGGATGCATGCCAATTTGTTACCAGCACTAAAAACAGCAAACTAAAGAAAGTAAATCTCTCAATGGTTTCACTGCATTACATTGTACAGACGAGAAAGAAAAATGAGAACTGCAGTCTCCCTCAATCTCCTTCCTAAGAGACCTGCCCTTGCTCTGTTAGCATGACCGCTGACTGCCTAGTTAACTGGCATTCCAACAAAGCCCTGTATTAGTCTTGGAGGTCAGTAGCTGGTTTGCAATGTCGAGTGATGCCAACGTCACAAGTTCAATCCCTGTACCAGTTGTAGTCACTGTGAAGGCCCCACTTTCTGAAACTCACTTGAGGTGTTATGGCCTTCAAGTTAACTGCACGGCCAATCACCTCTGTCTGATGAGACAGCAGCCTATGACGACTTTCACTTTTAATTGGAATCTTCTGAGGCTCCCTGGAAGGGAGGCTGTGGCAAAATCTCTCAGCTCATTGAAAAGATTACCAATCTGGAAATGCATCTCAAGTACTGTAGCCTGCCAAAGCTGTGGACCAATAGCTGGAAAGTAGGATTAGGCTGGGTGGCTCATTTTTGGTTGGGGCAGACATGATGCACTGTGGCCTCTTTCTGTGCTGTACATTTCCATGATTCTAACAGGATATTGGGGAATGGATGTCGCTGGATTGACCAGGATAAGAATCGGGTTGAGAGAGTTCCATATTTCTTGTTTCTATCACTTACACTGAGGTTGACTGTAATGATACGTACTACGGCACCAGGCTAGATCAATTCATTCAGTTGAGGGAATGGACCAGATCAGCTTTATCTGGTGCACTGCCTCACCATGCTGGACCAGAGGATAACTGAGAGCCAGCAGCAAACCCACCCCTCCCCCAACCCCAAACCAAAGGATGTCTTTATTCCCTCCCCACCAGGTCTGGCTTTGGTACAGCCCTTCCTTTTAGTCAGTTGTGGGCACATGTAGAGGAGCTTTCTGCCTGACTTTTGACAACCGAGCCAATCATTGATCTCTTTCACTTCCAGAATGTCTGCACCAAGTGTGGGATTGAAGCATCCAAACGGCCTCAGACACTGTGGCTGTGCAAGATCTGCAGCGAGCAACGAGAGGTAGGCACCTGTGGTCACCTATGCTTGTGGTTCCCCTAATTCCCAGTGTCCGTAGAGACTGGTACTGTGCAGTGTCTGCGGACTGGGGATTGCATTGCTTGTATAACAGGCATGTGTTGTAAAGCTCAGGGATGTTTTACTTGAGCAACATAACTGAGCTAAGACTGGGCACTGCTCCCGAATCTGTGAGGAGATAATTAGAAGGAAAATTTGCAAAACTCTATCATCATACACAGACCCAGCTGCTGCTTTCAGGGTGCTATTATTTGAAACAGGTGGCCTCCTATAGATGCTATTGTTGTGGGAAGACTTCAAAGAATCAAGTTTTGCTGGCAAGAAAGCAAATGAGTGAAATTTCTAACTCTGAAACATTTGGGAGTTAAGATTCAGTTAAAATTCCCACTAACTCTGATGAATAAAAACAGTCATATTGTTTTTTTTTAAATTACAAGGTATTTCGTACATTGTTTCTTCCTTAATGACGTAGTTGGTTCAACATTTCACATGGTTTTCAGTGTGCAGTTTATGCCTGACTCTCTGGTGCTGCTGTGAAGCAGTCGTTGCCATGTCAACATCGCGGTTGAACTGTTTGAATTACTGTCAGAAGGCAGTGTGAGGACCTGCTCACTACCTGCTGGTTAATGCTTCTTTCTGTCATCACCGCAGAAACTGATCAGCTCACTAGGGAACATAAATAACATGAAGTAAAATAATACATTACCCTGGAAACCACATCTGTGCATCTGGTACAGTTTGCACAATTGAACACACCAATTCACCATACTTTCCCTCCTCACCACTTGATCCTTATATTCTATTCACACTACGCTTCCCAACTGCCACCTTCCTTGCTGTCTGCCTTGTTGCTTTTGTTCTTAAATAACTTTAGGATTGAATAATCCCTCATTCTCAGGGACTTCATGCCCAGCACCTATCCTGGTTTTGCTTTGATCAAAAGAAAAATAACATGAATACTGGAAACCTACAAATAGAAATAGTTGGAGAAACCCAAAGGTTCTGACACCATTTGAGGAGAAAGAAACAGAGTTAACATTTCACATCTGATATGACTCTTCCTCGGAACTGGTGGAGCCAGAGACAATCACTGAGGGAGGCAATATAGCTGTGACAGTGAGTTTTGGCTTACACTTTATCAAACACTAGGAGGGAAATAGAAAGCAGTGGAGGTGAATAAGCTGAAAGATTAAAATGGAAATTCAATCAGGCAAAAGAGCAGGAGGAGGCCACAACTGGAAGAGAAGACCATAAGAAATAAAGACAGGGCTTTATTTGTTTGGCCTCTCAGTTCTGGTCTACCATTCAATTTGATCATGGCTTAAGTTCAAAATTAAGGGGCATATTTTCAAGGTGAGTGGAGAAAGAAGGTTGTGGAATGAACTGCCAGAGGATGTAGGTACAGTTATGACATTTAAAAGACATTTGGACAGTTACATGAATAGGAAAAGTTTGGAGGGATATGGGCCAAATGCTGGCAAGTGGGACTTGTTTAGTTGTGAAACTTGGTTGGCATGGATGAGTTGGACCAAAGGGTCTGTTTCCATGCTGTATGACTCCATGACTCTATCTATGACATTCCTCACATCCACTTCCCTGTGTTTTTTCCATGACCCTTGCTGGCCCCAATGATCAAGAATCTATCTATCTCAGTCTTAAATATGCACAAGGACTCTTCCGCTACAGCTGTCTGTAACAAGGAATTCCAAAAACTGTCAACCCTCTTTAAGAAGACATTCCTCCTTATCTCAGTCTAAAATTGGCGCTTCTTTATTCTGAGACTGCACCCTCAGTTCCCAGATTGACCTGTGAGGTCAAGCCTCTTAAGAATCCAATGTGTGTCAATGAGATCATTTCTCATTATTCTAAACTCCAGTGAGTAGAGTCATAACCTGTTTAGCCTTTACTAATAAGACAATTCCACCATTTCAGGAATCATCCTAATGAACCATCTCTGAACTCCCTCCAATGAAATGAAATATTTCCTTAAATAAGGGGACCAAACTACTCACAGTACTTCAGATGCGGTCTCACTAGCACCTTGTACAGTCATAGTGAGACTTCATATACTCCAACCACTTGAAATAAGGGCCAACATTTCATTAGCCTTCCTGATTATCTGCTGCACCTGTGTGCTAGCTTTCTGTGTTTCCTGCACAAGTACCCTCAAGTCACTTTGTGTTGCAGCTTTCTGCAGTTTTTCTCCATTTCAATCAGATTTTGTTCTTTTGTCTCTCTTCCAAAATGAACTTCACATTTTTTTCGCGTTAAACTCCATTTACCAACTTTTTGCCTATTTACTTAACCTGATCTGTAAAGTGTTTGTATCCCTCTTGCAACCTGCCTTTCCACCTATTTTTGTGTTGTCTACAAATTTGGCTACAGTACATTCACTTCCTTCCTCCAGGTCATTAATATATACTGTAAACAGTCACGGTCCCAGCACTGACCTCCATGGAACCGTTCTGGTCACAGGTTGCCAATCTGAAGAAGAACCACTTATCCCCATTGGTTATTTCCTGTCTATTAGCCAATTTGCTAGCCATGCCAATGCACTACCTCCAACACCATGAGCTCTTAAGACTTAAATTTTTGTGAGGTTCCTTGACAAAAGCCTTCTTTAAGTCCAAAAATGACATATCTACTTGTTCCCCTCTATTCACTCTGGTTGAGACTTCCTCATAAAATGCTAATCAATTAGTCAGACACAATTTTCCATGTGACCTCTGCTTGATTATATTATGGTTTTCCAAATGTTCTGCAATTATTTCCTTAATGATTTGATTCCAGTACTTTTCCAACAAGAATCGGCAGTGAATTAACTTCTTGATTAAAAGCAAAATACTGTTGATGCTGGAAATCAAGAAATAAAAAACAGAAGATGCTGGAGAAATTCAGTGAGTCTGGCAACAACTGTGCAGGCAGAAACAGAGTTAATCTTTCAGAACCAAAGAAGAGCCATAATGAATGTGTAATGTTAACTCTGTTTCTCTCTCCACAGATGCTGCCAGACCGGCTGAGTTTCTCCAGCAGTTTCTATTTTTATTTTGCTTTGAGTAGACAGATTATTGAGCAGGCAGTCTGAAAATTCTCTCTGAGGGTGGGCTTTAAAGGGGGGCCTGTCATATTTTCCTTGCTATTTTCATGGGTTTGTGGCTCTGTTTCACTGCCTTGGAAATAACAAAGCTGCTAATAATTTCATGCAGTCGTGATACCACAGTTTTTTGCAAACATGATATGCTATAAAATAACATCTGAACAACTATTTCAAGCAAGCTGACATGGCCTGTAAACATGGCTTTGTGACAATTTTGTGTTTTTATTTTTGTAAAGCCAATGTTCACAATTTAGCAGAACAGGAAAAACCACATCCGCAAAACTGTCACAGCCTGAGAACACAGCCATGGGAGATATCTTCAAAAATCTCCTTTCACAACATATTTGGGTTTAGATTAAATAATTTGATGCGTCATCATTTATCATTATCTTTGTGTGACTGGCAAACAAAAACCCACATTTAAGGTGTGGGTTCAAATGACCGGAGCCTTCCCACACTGCTGCCCCTGTGCTCCTGAACCAGCTATATTCCAATATAGCAACATGTAGGACAAGCCAAAGATGTAAGTGAGATAGAGAATTTACTGAAACTTTTCGGATATTTCTAGTCAGCTTACCCACACAGTGTGGGTAGGAATCCCAAGTGGGGTTGTGAGCTGAAAATTTTGGAGATGAAGGTTCAGGGGCAGCAATGGCTGCTCTGGAGTTCTAACCAAGTTATCGCAGCTGCACTGCTCCTCTCTCAGTTCATATCAAGGGTTTACTGACAATTTTCAGGTTGCGAAATGGGATAACAGAGGGAAAAGTTTTGGGAAGCACTGGTTTAACATCAGCGGTGGTTAAGGTTTAGAAACAATAATTAGGGGAAACAAACTAACAAGCACTTGGATAGGTTTGAGTTAATTAAGGAGCCAGCATAGATTTGTACAAGGCAAACTGTGCTTGTCTAATCAAAATGAACTTTTTGAGGAAATAACAGAGAACGTTAGTGAGGGAGAAGCAATGTATGTTTTCTGTATGGATTTTTAAGAAAGTGATTGATAAAGAACCATACATAAGGCTGATTTAAATAAAAATGAGGCATATAGAGTAGCAGGACCAGAGTCACTTGGATAAGTGGTAGGTGTTTTTCAAGATCCTTGAAGGTGGTAGGACATACTGAGAGAATAGTTAGCGAGGCATATTGAATATTAGGCTTGATAATTAGAGATATTGGTGATCCTTCCTCAGAATTTACCAATTATTAATCATCGTCATTAATCAGTCCTATCTCATTGCACAATACCACATCAAGAGGTTACGTTGAGCCACTCCAAAGCTGAGGTTCAGTCATAATTAGTATTGCATCTAGTTCCGGTTACTGCACTTTCGGAAGAATGTGAGGGTCTTGACAGGCTGCTGAGGAGGCAAGGACAAAGGTACTAATACAGGAAATGATAAACAGACAGTGACAGGAAGGGATAGAAAGTATGAATCCAAGAGTCAACCATCAGTTAAGGTTAGAATTTACAAAGGTGATGAAAGGATAAAGCTAAAGACTCTGTATTTGAATGTATGTAACATTCAAACAAAACAGATGAACTGATAGCGTAAATAGAAATGGTAAAGACATGGGAGTGCTGTGTAGGCTCCTAGCAATAATCATGTGGTAGGGTGGATCATAAAGGAGGAAATTAATGAGACCATACCAGAAAGTCATGGCAATAATCATAGGACTTTGGGTATTGAATAGAAAAGTCCATGCAAAGGGAGCCTTGATGAGAAATTCATAGATTTTCAGGATAGTTTCTTGGAACAGCATATTTCTGGAGCTAATCAGAGAGAAAAGCCATTTTAGATGTGGTATTGTGCAATGAGATAGGATTGATTAATAACAATGATTAATAATTGGTAAGTTCTGAGGAAGGATCACTGAACCTAAAAATTTA